AGATGGTAAGTTTGAAAAATAAAGTCAAGAGTGGAGAAGTAGATTTGAAATTCTTCTAAACAGAGATAGAGAATATGCAAAGATATGTAATGTCTGACAATATTACAGGGAACAACAAAAAGGAAATAATCATCCAAAAGCATAAACACAGAACAAAGTATCAGTGGATGAAGAGGTAGCCAAAAGATACTGACAGAAAAAATTTGGACGGGAAGCCCTTTTTGCCATCATTTTTCTATCGGTACCATTCTGGGGTTGGATCCCAGAGATCCAGGCTTCCTCCCACCCAGAATCTTTGGGATCAAATATAGTCCATAACAGTTCAAGCCTCCCTGATTTAAAAAATAAATGCCACCAGTATTTTTTCACTAACACTGCTTCCTGAGCCCCTCCTATTAATCAACTGTTCATGTTCCCTTACCAGAAAGCTCTGACAGGATTTAAAATAACCTGAATTATCTCTCAATGGCGCACTTATGTTTTAAAGAAGGCTGAAGTCAAGCCTTGGCCCAATTTCTAATGTGCTCATAAAACGGCTGCGGAATACATTGCCAAAGCCAAATGTCCCTTCTGCAGATTAAGTCCAGTTTTCAGTAAAATAAAGAGGTAAAAAGGTAAAAGTGCATTCAAAAGGCAGGTATGTAAATCTCAACATCATCTAGATCTCTGAAAATAAAAAACTGTGCCAAAAAAGAAAAAAGTGTATGCATTTCCATTAAATGATTTCCAAGCATTTTGCTGCAACTTAGGGATTTGTGTGTAGATTTAGTCAGCCATTCTTGAAACTGTCAAGATACTTAACTATGCAAAAATTAAGGGCTTTATCTCATCTTTAATTCTGTCTGTAATTTTACATTATTTTTTTCTTTCCTTTCTTTCCAACTTCTGGCTTGAAACTGGGGCACTGTTTTAGAATTCAATCACACCATGGAAATGTCATTTTAATGGAGCTGAAAGAGCAATATTAACTGACATCCAAAGCTTCTGACAAACAGAACTGCATGGGAATGAGCAATGATTGAGATCTTAATCACTTGTCGGCTGTCGCATTGTGATGACTTGCATTTTCAACTAATCTGGCTTGAGTAATGAGTGAAATTTCTAGCTGAGTGGTGATTGGCATTCTCTGAATGAATCCTTTCCTCATATTTCATTTTCATGGGTGACTGATCACATCCAGTATATGAAAAACTGACATGTGTTAATTGAACAGATTTGTGACAGGTGATTAGCTCTCCTTTCCTAAAGAGTCCTAGAGCTGTTTAATTGTTTAAAAATGATAAAACTTTTTTTTTGTCATTACCATTGGCTCTCAGGTCTAAGATCTGAACTTTAGGAAATGGCTTCAAAGATGCAAACTAATGCTACATGAACCCTGTAGTCTTTGATTCCTAACAGTTTCTCTTTGTTTCACTGCCTTTTTGGGAGGAAGAGAAGGAAGAGGCGAAGGGCAAAACAACAAACCAGTTGGGAAGAAGAGAGTGTCTCTGAGGACAAAAACTTCTTCCTTCTTTGAGTATTCTTTTAAGGCATTCTTTGAAACTTTCCACACTATGTACTGAAAGATGAAGGATGTAAGATTTTGGGGGGGGTGTCAAGGAATTCAAGGGAAAACTCTACCAATTTCTTGGCAATCAGCTCAGCCATATGTGCTGAAAGCTGAACTCCTCAGTCTACTGTACAAGACCCATCCTGTTATGGGACTGAGAGCCAAAAAACATAGGGAACACCAGTTCCCATGGGAACTTGCTTCCCTGCCCCAGAGCACAGCACACCTCAACATCCCAAGAAACCATGCTCTAGCCTAGGATCTCAGGGCTCTGCGCTATGGACACCAAACCCAGAACACCTATAGCTGCTTATTCCTGTAGGGCCAGGAGCCTGGGGACCTTGGAGGTAACCTGCAAGGACAGCAGCCTCCAGAAGCCCAGCTTGAGCCAGGACTGCAATAGCTGCAGGACAAAAACAGCTCCCAGAGGGATGGCCGGCATGAGACTCGGAGCTTTGAAGCCTGAGCCAGAGATGGAACAAGCAGTGGAGGCTGCAGGACAGCAACAGAACATGGGATCCTCCCCAATCTAAACAGAGGGTCAGCACTACACATGGCTCCTGGGAGCATATTACATGGCAGGGGCACCACTTATCAGAGTTGCTGGGAACAGAATTTTTGATACTTTTTAGTTTTCTGGGAATTGGAAAGTTTGGATATTACCTACAAAACAGAATTCACAAGTTTTGGGCAGCTCCGCTCTCTCTTCTATGCCAGGAAGCCCACCTCTACCTTAGGCTGGGGGACAAATAATACTTCACCTACAATTTTTCCCGTGATTAAACTCGTAGAAGCTGCCAATCAAATGCTTCCTGGTAGGAGCAGCCAACAAAGGACTTTTGGCTATTCAGATAACCTCCTATTGTTCTCATTCCTCCCTGCTAACTGCTGCCTGTCCAACCCTTCTGCTTTGCCCTTAGCTTCATGCCAGACCTATTTTCTCTTCTGCTTTGCCTTCTCCATTTCCCTCTCATGAAAGCTTTCTTTTCAAGATTGCTTTCTGTTTAGCTTATCCTTTCCTAATTCTTGAGTGATTTTTTTAGATATTACCATAACAATAAATACCTTCCTCTTTGTCTTAGTATTAGAAGTTCCACAAGATCATATGAGGACTACACCAGCACTTCTTACTCAGTTAGGCCACAGCTTCTTCCCAAAAAACCAGAAGTTCCTATTTAGTTGTTGTCAGATTAACAGAGAGAAGCAACAGCTGCAAGGACAAGTTTGGTGCAGTTTGAAGGAACTTATGACACTAGGGTTGAATAGTTTCTTTCATTACAAACTGATGATTGTGATGGCTAGTAAACATTCTGGAAAATTTCCCCACATTTTTCAGAACACAGGCTTTAGAGAACTTGATAAATTTGTAAAATTACTCTGTCAGTTCCCTTGCTAAATAGCTGCCCTTTCACTGATGAACATCTCAGATTCAAACTTTAGTGTTCAACTTTGATGTGTCTAAGCCAAGGGGCAAAAGAGCAAAAAAGCAAATAGATATGCTTACCCTTAACAATCCTTAAATGTGGTACACACAAGCTCCACTAGAAAATACATGCCAGAAGGAATACAGTGATGAAAGTTAACAGCAAACAACTAATTCATGCAATAGTGTATAGATAACGTGCAGGAAGAATAGAGGATTAATTAATTACACCATAAGGCCTGTAGTGAGCGATTCTTTCTTTTATCAGACACATATCTGCAGAAATACAGGAAAGCTTTTGAGACTGCATGCTGGACAAATTTTGCTTCGCTTACAACCATAGACTAAAGTACTCAAAAAATTTCAGACCACAGAAAATGAGAAATTATTTAATCTTGTATCTGTTAAAAACTCACCTAATTCAATATCTCTTATCCCCATGTATGTTTCAAGAAGCTCATCCACTTTTTTAATTGCTTTTTCTTCAACTTCAGTTGGCTTTGTTGAAATAAAGGGAGAAAAAGAGCAGAAGTATGATTACATCCATGCAGATTTCAAAATAACCAGCAATTCACTGCTGATTATCCTTACACCCATCCTGGCCACCTAGACTTACAAAACCTAAAAGTAAAACACATTATTCCACTCTCTTTCTCTCTTCTTACAAACCTGAGCCTTCCTCCTAACGTCAAGCCACAGAGCTCTCACATTCAAACTAAACAGGGGCCTTACATCACCTGACAATACAGATCTTCATCAAATCCTCATCAGCTTTAGATGAACCCCGAACAAATAACATTTCTTCTTCCAAACCCTAATCCTGGTTTTACACATATTCATGTCAACATATGTTATTAGCCTCTGCTAACAACCACCCTTACACCAGCCCAGTACATTTGCAGTGTCAAAATAGAACCAACTCTTCAACCACCCCCTTCCCTCTTTTCAACACTCCTTGGTCTAATCTACCTTAAATTCATCCATGTACTCCATGACATCTAAATATAGGCTCTCTGTTTCCAGATTCCTCAGCCCCATTCTATCCCTGTTAGTCTTCAACTTTACATAAGCATTTCTCCCTGCAGAAGGCAGTTGTCGTCTTAAGTCCCGCAAGCTTTGTAACATCCAGACTTTTCCTTCCTACTTTATCAGCCTTGGGGAAGAATAAATCAGGTGCTACATGATTAAACTACTGAAGGGCCCCAAGATAACCATACCATCTCCTCCACAGTAGCAGGACCTTTGGTTCTCAGCCGAAGTGTCTCTCTCCCTCTGGAGATTTTAGCCTCTGGCAGAGTTCCACCTTTGGACCTTGGTTCCAGCTTTTCTAAAGGCGAAACAAACAACAACAACAAGAAAAGAATACCAAAGAGAACTAAGTATATGGCATGTCAGAATATGATGTATCTGCTTTGGCTATTACATTACCTTCACTTTTTATTCTAATCAAGATCTAGACATATGTAAAAATTGAATTATAAATTAACTGTATTCTAAGTATAGCTTTGCTGACAATTTCTTGTCCTCAAACTTTAATATCTGCTTGACTGCACTGAAACTAGGACTTCCTTGACCAATATATCTACACAGGCCTATTGCACTCAACTTCATATATGTACTTTGTATAATTTTATTCCCCTGTTCTACAGAACAGTAGAAGTATTTATTACTTAATATTAGATAATGGCTGAATTCATCAACCAAATGTTGATTTATCCTAGTCTTTACAGGCAGACTACGTAGCAGGTTTAGTATTGCAACATTTCCATCTTTCACTGATGCAATGGTGCAAACACTATTGCTAAACAGGTGATGATGAGCTACATTGAGCTGAGCTAACAATTTGATTACTAGCAGTCACACAGGTGAAATGTTTCTAAGTAGATCTGCAGGAGTTTTTCCACTGGTTTCACTGAGGTAATGATTTCACACCTGATAAATCTCTACCAAGAATACCTGGGTTTACCCAAAGTTTTCTTTACCTGAATTCAGCTTTCCTTGTTTAATCTTGGATAAGGGCACCCCAGGATAGTAAATGGAGTACGGAATGATTTAAGATTTGGCTTTCTTGTTCTAGGACATAATTTTACATTCAAGAGTGGCAAGGCTTTAATTTACTTACATAGGAGTTACATAGTTAATCTGGAAAATACTAGAAGAAAGGAGATAATTTTGCAGAACTGTTTTTAACTGTGCTGTTTTCTCTACCATATTATTCCTCCTCTTAACAGCAGGCCTTTCTAATAAGCTCTCCTTAAAGACAAGACTTCAACATCCTATGTTAATTTTGCCCAGGTAGATTCCAACTCATCATTCTTGCATAAATAGACAAAAATCCAGATTATTCTGCTGAACAAATATTGAAAAGTAAATTTTAATTGCTTTTATTTTAACAAATAGATATGGCACAGTCTCTTACATATATACTTAGGATCAACACTTCTCCTTAAATCCTTTTATAGCTGCAAGGACAGTTTAAAACATCCTTAAGATTGTCATCATTTCTGCTAGACTTGTTTCAAAAAGTTGTTCCTGGTACAACATACATCTTTTCCTAGTTCTGTCACCATTAGCAACTTAAAACTCATGATTTGACATAACCTTTATTTGCAATACTTCAGACCAAAGCTCTCTGGCCATCACAGAAACTATTTTTCATATTCACATAATTTAAATTTAGAGTTTGTGTTATGCTGCCTTTACTTTGTTTCTATTAATTTTTCACCACTTCATAGAGGGCCAGCTTGTGACTGGTAAGGACCAATCTTATTCAGACGAGTCTTTCATTCTGTGCTACAAGCCTTGCCTAGAGTAGCTGAGACAGCCTGTGTGCACGTGGTAGAAAGACATCCAACTAGTAAATTATACTTATTTCACATTCTGCTGAGAGGAAGAAAAATAAAAGTAATTTCACACAGTGGCTTGTCTCTTATTTCTATACCCTCACAAACTTGTGTTGAAACTAACAGGAATTCAGCACCTACTTGTGCAGCAGGATCTGGAACTTGTTTGTCATCTCCTCTGGGGCTATTCTCAGCATGCTGCAGCTTAAACACTATGTTGAATAAATTTGTGCCTAAAGCCTAACTGCACCTAAACTAAAGTCTAACTGCAGCTAATTCTACAGGTGGGATATTCTAGCCTGTTGGACACTGCAACTTGTAGATTAATTTCTGCAGGGTAAAAAATAATGTGCATCTTCCAAAAATCTGTCCAAAAAGCTCTGGTTGTCTCTTAATTCAATGTCAGATAAAAGGTATTGCCATGGAATTAGCAGGTTTCCTTCTCTACATCACAGGCAGACTAAAAGGTATCTTAATCACCTAACTAAAGTAATTACTATTAAATAATGGCTGAAGTCATCAATCAAATGCTGATTCACCCTGGTCTTTACAAACAGACTATGTAACACATTTAGCACTGAATACAAATTATAGACCCATATTAGAAAGGTATTCCTATATTACTAATTGCAGTATTATACATATGTAATACTACTTTAGCGCAATGTATACATCTCAACATACACATTTACTTAACACAAGTATCAGGTTATATTCAAATGCATTAGAGATTAACTCATAACCCTCCTTCTTCACAGAAGCACCAAAAGCAAAAAGAAATTTTCCCATTTCTCTCATTTTCAATTTCTGCTGCTATTCTGACACCAAGTGTCAAGACTGGTGTATGACAGCAGTTGTAAACTACTAACAGATAAAAAAAGATTTGAAAAATAAACATTTCAAACTTCTGCTGTGGTGAAGATGTTGATTTTGAACTTGCTGTTAGTGCGAGCATGCACAAGGACTCACAGGCACTTATAATTTAGCAGTATTTTGAAGTTTTTATTACAGAAAAATGCTACATAGTTCGGGGGGGAATATAAAGAAATTGAGAGAATAAAAATTAAAACTCAGTCTCTATTTTGACTCCCTGAGCTAAACTTAACTTTTTTTGTTGTTGTTTACCACATTGATGAAATTAACATACTTAAGGATTAGCAGTAGGTATGCATTCCTCCTGTACAAGTATCACTTTCTCGTAGCATGCGGGTGGTAGGTAGAGACAGAGCTTTGCCACACTGCTCTCTTCCAACTCTGAGTATACCTGCTGTATGATCAGAGGGCCACAAAAAAGTTGGGGAGAGGCAGAGCAGGCAGCCATGCAGCAAAGGAGGTGCTCTAGGGAATCCCAGACAGTGTTTTCTGCAGCATCCTTCTGCATTAGAGACCGCAGTCCCAGTAAAGGGTACAGAAATAGCAAAATCTCACACAAAGATGAACAGGGATTATGTATCAACAGAGAAATAGAGGAGGTTCAAGGATCAGCACATTAGTGAAGTGATCCATGCTTTAAAACTGTATCTATGAAACAATTCCTGTACTCATTTTGCATCATCATGTAGTAGCAAAGGAACTGAGCAACTGAGACTCAGGCTGAGGCAGCCCACACCAGGATGACTGCTGGAGAAAGCAAGATGGAAGAAAATCCATTCATAAATTTCCCACTTCAAAGAAAAAAAAGGAAGTTCTTTCTTGTAGCAGTTACGTTACCTTGGGTGAACACCTGGCTGTAGTCTGAAAACAAACTTACAATGCAACGCAATGTGGGGATTTTGATATCCAGTGAACAAGGTGGACAGTCAGGTAACTCACCAAATGCTTTCATAGGCTCTATCAACTCCAGCTTAAACATCTGACCTTTCTCCAGATCTTTTAGCATTTTGGCAACTTCATAATGCCTACGATCTGACACATTTTTTCCATTTATAGTCTCTATGTGATCACCCACGCAGATCATTTTGGTTTGGTCCATAAGGCTACCTTCTTTGATTCGCTATGGTTTAAAAAAAAAAAAAAAAAAAAAAAATTTTTTAAAAGGTAAACAGGTGACACCACAGAGTCTCAAGAATGTCAGTTAACAACATCAATACCATTGAGCTTATTATGCCAGCAGTGTGTTTTGTCTATAAGATTTTCATGAAACATATTTTGGAAAACATTATTTTTCAAACAAAGTACTTTAATAAGCATTGAATATAAAATCAACAGGAAAAAAAAAGAATGCAATCACACTTTAGAAATTAAGGCTTCTGAATAAGCTAATTTTTTTGTGCTTTAAAACTAAGCCCAAACGTGTCAGTAATGTGAATGTTTAATTGAGGTTTGGGTTTTCATTTTGATTTAATACCTTGACAAGCATAGGAACAGAACTATTCTCAAGTATGGTCCAGGGACATAAAAAAAACGCGTGTGATATACTAAAAAATTACATACTATAAAGGGCTAGTCTTCATAAGACCCATCTATAGTGATAAGTCTTCTACCATTTTCCTCATCAAGCTGTACAGCTGTATATTAAAGTATTTCCTCTGAAATAACAATAAAGAATAAGACACTCTTCTAAATGCCATCTCCTGGAATACAAACGGTCTAAAGGTCATAAAATCTAACAGAAGTTAGTTTATAGTTTTTGTGAAGTGGAATTTAAAAAGCAAGGAAAAAAAATATCTTTAAAAGAGCTCTATGATTTATCAAGTCAATTAAAGGACACTTAACATTTCAGTGATTCTGTTTATTGTTGTTATATTCTGTCATATTTGTTTATCATGTCCCTAGGTTATGTAAGCTGTTATCTTATGGCTATTTAATAGAAAAGCTATGACATAGTAAAGTATCTTGTATTTTGTAGAGATATGAATTTCATTCTAATATCTTCCTGAATAACATACTTTTCAACAAAACTGATGCTGTTCAGGCTAACTTTGAGTGAGATAACAGTGAGACAAGGGAGATAAACATATTACCACCTACTACTATAACACCTAGCCTGGCTGCATAACCTGCTTCTAGTTTATGTGCGCATGTCTGAGCCCACATATGTGCCTCCATCTGAGAGAGTCAGTGGGAAGTGTGATAGTGCTCAGTGTCCTATAATATACTGCAACAATTTTTAGCTTCAGGATGAGCTTAACTCTTTCTAGCACTTTTTTTCTTTAACCTAGAATAAAACCAAAAAGAAGCCTCATGGTGAATGAAGAGGGGGCTATCGTACACACACCAGAAACCAGGTCCCAAATGCATTTCTGTTACCAGGTGCCAGGATTCAAAAGCATGCCCATCAGACTTCAGTTAATGTTTAGTCTACATGCTGAATTAATTTTCATCTAGCTTTACTTCTTCACTTGGATCCTAACACCAAAACTGTTTAAGTAATATTCACTGCCTGTGTTACTTGTGCCATATCAAGCATTTTTTTTCATATGACTTAGTTTTTCTCATCACTCCAAGTTAACTGACTGGAGACAGTCTAGCTACATTGTCACAGTAATTAAGATGCAATTGATTTGCCTGTATTTCAAGTGCTCTACAGTCCATTTAGAAGCTAGAATATATATTTCCCATGCAACGCCTAAAATTAATTGCACTACCCCATTTTATGATGTCTCCTTATACACCAGTCAGTCATGCTTCAAGTTGTACTGTTATTCTTTGAATGGCTGATTTGATTCCATAATACATCTTCCCATCTGGCCATATACCCCCCAAAAAAATTTGTGAAAGTAGAATGACACCAAGTTTTGTTCTTAGTAAGATAAATAACATTAGATTTCAGAGGAAAACAACCTGCAGGTCAGAGTGTCAGGTTTAAAAACTGGCCGCGTCATATATCAAACCTAAAAACTGCCCTGTTATTCAAAACACAATAAAGTTAGGACAGCACATAACAGCTTTCAACAACCCAGACAGGTAAATTTAATATTGTTAATTAATAATGGAACATAGTAACAATTCTTCAAGGAAATTAAATACATAACCAGAAAGAATTCTATCAAACTTTAGAGACAGTCTCTGCTTAGTCATTTACCTAGACAACCAAGTATAAAAAAAGATGCAGCTTTTACTTTTGCATATGTATTTTCTATGCTGTTTTAAAAAATCCATTAGCTAAATATGCAACGGCAACGAAGTTAGCTCCTAGAAACTCCTTTAAACAGATGCATTCCCACGAAGACTGCACCATTTTCATTATACTGCTTATTATTAGGCCAGTACAAGGACAATGACACATTTGTTCAGGCAAGTTTCATACAATTTACTGGAAAGTACAGCTTGTCTTGCTAATGTGGTGAGGGTTTTCCAGTCCACTCCAATTATGCAGTGTGATGGCTGTTCTCTCTCCATATTACTAACCAAGCAGAGAAAGTAACACGCTGTACAGTGCTGCACACGTAAACTTTAATCACTGAAGCACTACTTTCAATGCCTTCTTTTAAAATGCCACATAAGCAGCACCATGACTGAATGTAATGGTGTGCATGGATGCTACCACTAAAAATTCAGAGTTCTGCATCTATAAACATAAAAATGAGGCTATGATTTTGCCAAGATGCTTACTGAAACATCCACTGCATCTCAACTTTCTCAAGTGTTATCTCAATCACATTTTTCCACAACAAAGACAAGCAAACCTATTTGTAAACCATGTCTTGTTTTATATCCATGGTGGCTAAGGAATGAATAGAGGATTGAACCTCTCCACAAAAGAAGCTCTGTTTACAATAGCAATGAGAACAGCGATTGGGACAGCAGTAATCGAAGATAATTGCTGATGCCTCACTAATAATGGATAGCTGGAGTAGATCAGAGCAAAGCATCTAAAAAAGGCAGAAAATGTGATTAAGGTTCCTAATACCTAGCCTAGCAAGAAGGGTAGCATGATTTCCTCAGCCTCTACTTGTCTTAAAACATACTGTCTGGAGGTCATACAGAAGATGAGGAGGAAAGCAATTATGATTAATATGTTGTATGTGTTACTGCCCATAGTTGCTACTAAAGTTAATTGTGGTAAATTGTGTTCATCCACATCCTTAGCACTTTTTAATTCACCCTAGCTAAGGCAACAATACTGGAAAGCTGAAAAACCGCTATACCTGCACCTATTCTTATACAGCACAAAAGCTTCTGCCCTGTGAACAGTCATAAAGACTAAAAGAACATGATCTCATTATCACATGAGTGACAGAAGTTCTATAAGCACCTGATCAATGACATCAGAAAATCACTTAAAAAAAGGAGGGGGCAGATGCAAGCAGTATCTAACACCTACCACCTCAGGGTAGGTCAGAAAATACAATGGTCACATTGTAAAGCTGATGCACATTACAGAAGCAATGAACAAATGAACTAATTTTGAATGACATGCAGTACAGAAATAGCTGAACTCATTTTGAATGATGTACCTCAAGAAAAGCAACTTTATTTTTTATTTACCATATATAGGATAGTAAAAAATGTTGTCGTTCTAAAGGATCATTAAACCAATAATTAACCTGGTTTAGTAACAGAAACTTCTATAGAACAAAGTATCTCACTGGTAATTAAATTTACCTTTATAAACGCACAGCCAGTTCCATTGTCTGTAATGGTAAGCCCAAGCACATCATCAGTTTTAAGAATTTCCACTTCTTTTCGTTGTCCTTTTATGTGGGCAAATATGAAATCTTCAAGGCCAATTTGTGCACCTAAGAGCTTGTCCATATCAGCTTTATGAGTGTTCAAAGTGCAAAACATGATCTGTGCAGGAGGAAAGCAAACACATTAAGTTTAACAGTATATTAGGTTTGGTGAGCTTGATAGGAAGATAGGAGGAGAGCATAGTTCTGGCCTCTAACAGATCCATAGCTGAAATGATGATGACTCTCCTTCTCCAGCTGCCCCAGGAGAGGTAATAGTCTCCATCCACACACATGACAGTGCACATCAATAGCTCAAACTCTGCAGATAAGAGCTAGCAGGGAGCAAAGGAAAGAAACATATCCGTGTGAGCAGTCTCTCATGGCCTGTCTCAGAACACCAACTCTGACACAGGCATCTTGCGCTAGAGCAGAACAGCTTGTTCCAGAGGTTAGAATGAGCAAACCAAAGAGTCACCACCATCTTTTGCTTCATTGTTCACCCACCTCAAATTCCACAGGATTCAAACATCACTAGGGACTGCTTTAAAACATAACTGCTTGAAAGCAGTTTCATAGGAAAAAAGAGAGCTTATCAAAACAAAAGGTCATGAGAGAGCATTGAAATGTTTTCTATTGCTCCATGTGTTCCCCCATTAGCTCAGAGCACATTGCCTCCGATGGGTTTGCTTAGTTTCCTACCCTTCCTCCAGCATAAGTGGGGGTCATCTCTGTTCCAGCTTAGTAAAAGCAAGGCTTAAGAAAAAGGGCAAATTGGTTCTTTATGTATCAGCCTTTCTGAGGGATTTCCCTTCCACACTGGTTGTTAGGCACTCCTTTTTCTCCCTACATTTATGCTAGTGGTTCTTTAACAGGGAGGTTTACTGTCCTGGGCATAGGCAGGATGAGACTAACCCAGCTGTACTGCTCAGGGACAGAGACCATGCTTTTGCCCACCATGGTGCTGCATGGAGGAATTCGGCCAGTCCGAGCAGGCTTTGGGTTTTCTGCTCTTTGAGTACAGGCTGTACTGAACAGCCCAGAAAATAAATAAATAAATAAATAAATAAATAAAATCCAGTGCTCCCCCTCACAGCTAGAGTAACTACACCTGCCTGACTCCTTTCCAAGCTGTATGCAGAGAGGAGTGAGGGCTGAGGGAGCCCCCCCAGCCTCCTCCTGGGTACCACCAGAGAGCACAGGGCAGCAGCCGAAACAGAGAAACTCCACACTCCAAAAGGAACTTGGGGAATCCCTAAAATCTACTTCAATGAGGCAAAGAGCACCCCTAAAGATCACCTTTCACATGCAGCTGGAAGCAGGGGAAGAGGAGACTTGCCACACCATTTGGCCCTCCAGCACAGGTGGCAAAGCCACAGCTGCAAACCATCAGACAAAGGCTCTGCTGCCAGCAGTATGCATATGGCTCTGACAGGACAAGAGAGACAAATAGATACTTTTCTACCCTCTGCCTGTGTCTGCTGGACATTATTTTCCTTCACAGAGCACCTTGGACCCCCCTGCAGCCCACTGCCCACACCCGCTCCAAATTAGGAAGTGGAAAAAGCAGTGCCAACACATGAAAAGCCGTATGCAGTGGGAAGCCAGCCTAGCATTTGAGGAACACAGCACCAGGGATGTCACTCTGTGTCCTCCATCTTTGTTACCCCTCTAGTAGCAGTCCCTGGGGAGCAGCGGGCCAGGCCAGCTGCCCCAAAACCCAGCACAGACCTGTGCCTGCGGCCTGCCGAACCCCCCAGTGCTTCGCTGGAAATGGAGGGTCTCCTTCTGCCTTCCTGGCTTCCCTCTCCACACTTGTAAAAGTTAAGGGGTTTTCCGCACCAGAACACTTAAAATGCCTTTTCTTTCCTTCCGGCATCACTGGATGACAGCAGAAAAATTGAAATGAAAGTCACCAACCTATTCAAAGCTATTCCAGGTCAAATGAGGGGTGAATACTTTTCTTAATGTAATTCACAGAGAGCATTTAAGCTTCTGAAACTTTCTAGAACTTACATTCTACAACTATGGGGGGGTTTGGTTTTAAAAACTGAAAGTTTAATAGTGAGATGGTGTTTCTTGATGGGGTGGGTCGTTTAGTTGTTGTTTTTTAAAAACACCAACCAAACCAAAACCACTAACCAGCCCTACTTCAAAGCTAATTAATTGCTTATCTCATATAATCCATCAAACATCTACTGCAATCTAACACCTTACTTTAACAATGAGAGTCGTAACAGCACGCACTTAAGAGACACTAGTTTTATTCTCTTGGGTAATGCAAAGTTTTTCAGTTAACCAATACTCGAGCAGTAACATCAACTAGAGAAATTCAGCTGGTTTTAAATAGAAAATTAAAAATTAATTTTATAAATAATAATAATATCTAATCATCAGCATTTTTTTTAACCAAGAAGGAAGGTTCAATTGAAACAGACTATATAAAGTTCACGTACACGTTTTCAGCTCTCCTTCAAGCTACATAATAACTTTGCCAGTTTACAACTGCAACTCAGTTCTTGTTCTTACAAGGAACAACAAGAACTATGTCTTTAGATTTTAGACATTAGCATCCTTCATCTGACCTTGTCAAACAGACAATCATCTAGTAACTAGTGTCACACCTTTGAATAGATAAAATTGGCAACAGAGCAGAAATGTGATATTTAGAAACTCGATCCAGAGTTTCTCTTTTTAGACCTTCATCTGGATGGCATTCCTACTACAGCTTATAAGTCTGCAGAATTTTCTGTGAGTCAGTTCTGTGCTAACCACAAGGCTGAGAGAGCATCAGCCAGTCAAAAATAAAACTTAAATCATCCTTTATCCTCTTTAGTGAACAACTGCTTTTTCTCAGAACAGATATATGCAAAGAGTAATGTACTAAAGATGTGTCTACCCAGGATAATATACAGTTACACCACCTATCAGTTACAGCACAGCTTTATTCGTACATGACTGAGACCTGCCAAAAAATGGGGGTTTTTTGTAGATTTTACATAAGTTTAGTATAGGTACCTAATAACTGCTTATATACTTAAATACTTAAACAACAGCTACTATAGTACACCTTCCATTCACTCCAAGTTTGGTATATTCTTAATAGTAATTTTCTTACCCAGAAACAAAGCAAGAAAAAAAATTCAATGTGCAATTTTCATTGTTAAGTCTTCTCGCTCTCTTCATACCCTCAGCCTTCATATGCATTTGATCTTTAACTCAGCATACCAGTGCTGTGACATTTCATGCCAACTTTAGCCAGATATTATAAATCATAACTGTTACAACAGTCACGAAGTATCTCGGATACCTCCTTCACTGAGAGAGTTCTCTTGTGCAGCACACAGAACAAGGAAATTCCATTTGGCTGGCAGGGACTGGGGGCTTATGCACAACCTTATAAAATAGATTTGTCAGATAAGATTACTAACAGTTTATTCCCTGCCTCAGTATTTTCAGTAGGAAGAGACTACATTAGCCAATAAAAACAGGGTTACACTGTGTGATATATAAAGAAACTGTATTAGCTAAGAAAAAGAGGGTTACACTATGTGTTTTATATAACGTATATATGCAGTAACATATTGCATATCCTATATATTAATTACATTCTCATCTTCTATATTAAGCCTACACATTGAGAACTCTTAAGCTGAATGATAGAAGACATACTCAGAAGCTATTAAAAGTGCTTTTAAAATCAGTAGATCTCAGATAACTTTACAGAAGAGATCATAATCACTTTAAGAGGTAGAGAAATGGAAATTCTGCTTCTGAGGAATATGTAACACCCACTGACATATTTCCCTATATACACAGATGACACGATATCAAGAAATCACCAATGGATTTTCTAGGTACCTTACTCACTTTATCCCCCAAGGAAAACGTGGGAGATTTGACAAGCTGCAGCAAGTCCTCCAAGATCTAGTATGCTTTTGGTACTCTTATCAGGTATGCAACTTTGCCTCCCCAAATACATTCAAAGTACTATAAAATAAGCATTCAGTGGTTTATTGTTCTTTTTTTTAAACCCAAAGCACACAAGAATTACAGTGTAAGTTCTTCCACACAGCTTAAAAGTATTTGAAAAACAAATCATTAACACAGCAAGCATCACACATAATATGGGTGTGAAATTTAAGCACTGCTTAGGAGAACAGCAAGCAAACAATTGTTGCCATAGGGTTGGGAGGAGGTGGTTTGTAGGGAGTGTTACATTTGTTCATTTAAAGTCTTCAAACTGTGGGCGAGATTGTGAACAATTTGTTTCAACAGATAAGCATATACTCTAAAACTTCAAACATTTTGGTGATGAGGATTTCACAAGCTGACCCTTTTCTCTAACCTCCTAAAATACACTCCAGATTTTTTCTTGTTATAAGGTCACTTTTATTCAGAAACCTAAGTTTCAGCAGTGGCTTATTTTTCAGTATTCTTTCACAAAAGTTTAAATTGAACAGGTTTAAATCAAATACTTCTATGAAAGTTTAATGTGGCACAGCCTCACAGTATACTGTCTAGCATGAGGAGGCAAGGCCGTGGAACAATAGCGCAGACACAAGCAAAGCAGCTAAACTCTTGTTACAGGAAGAGACAGAGGGAGCTGCACTTCTGCCCTTCGTGCTACCGAGGCAGTTCTCCCTTTTCCTGTATTCCCCTTATGAAGCAAAATTCCTTCCACCGTGAAAGAAACCCCAAACTCCATGGGCTCTTGACAGACACACCCGCTGAGCATTCAGCTTACCTCAGCAGCCCCACCATACTTCACCTTCCAAAGCAAGCAAAATAATCAGAAGTGCAAATTACAAGTACACAAGCCAGAAGCCCATATAGCTTCTGTGGTTTACCATTCCCTTCTCATCTGATCAGGAAATAGCCCTGCTACAGTTGGACTTTAATATCCACGTTCCCAGTGCCCGATTAGCTACTTTGAATACTCTAAAGCCCTACCATGTGCTCTCACAGGAGCACACCACCACCAAATTGCTTTACACAGACCCACATTGTCCTTTGGTCGGTGCTCATTTATTCATCATACAGGCTGCACTTAGCACTTTCACCCTTACAGGGAACACAACATTCCCTGCTACATTTCCAAATAGCCACAGTGGAGTAGTGATCCTA